CACCTGTCATCCTCCTTTGTCTGGCTCTGTCTAGCAGATTCAGAATGAAATGTCTCAACAACTATTTTACTAATTGCTGTTTTAGATTACTTTCTTTTGACCCCAAGTGCTCAGAAAAATCTGTCGAACCATTTCAAATAGTCTGATTATTTCTACTTTTAGTTACCGTAAGTATTTTTATTTATTTACTTGATTGGGGGGGCAGCTGCCCTTCCACCCCCTGGCTATGCCCATGGCCCAAACCTTTTAAGACTGTGGGGAACCCTTGGCCCTCCTGATGTTGCTGAACTACAACTCCCACCACCCCTAGCAAGCATGGCCAACAGACATGTTTGTTGGGAGTTGTAGTTCAGCAACATCGGGAGGGCCAAGGGTTCCCCACAGAAGGAAAAGTGAGGACAAGGCTTCTATATCTTTGGTAGCTACACTGAAGAGGGAATTTCATAAGGAGAGTGATGTCAGATGCACCTCTTGAATTTCCTATGCAGCTTTCAACATCCCTTCAGAGCGGGGATTTTAAAAATTGGATTCGGAAATTATATAAACGCCCCTACTTTTAGCTGTTTTTGTATATGCAATTATTTTGTATCGGTTTGTGTTTCATTGTGAAATTGCTGCAAGATGCTTCGTGGGAGGAGATTCGTAAATGAAAGGAATAGGAGCTTTTAAACCACTTTCCCACCTTTGAGAGCCATTTGGAAAGGAGGAGTCTTGGGGGGGGGAGGATCCTCAGGCCCTCCTCTCTTCATGCTTCTCTGCCCCCTCCCAAAATTCTCTCTTCCTGTGCTTGCTATTGTGAAAAGCAAGCACCAGCTTCTGCTGGACTTCAGTGCTGCAGAACCTGTAGCTGCCCCTAAGGCCAACTAGGGAGCTCGTGACCAGATCCAGACTACAGACATTGCAACTGGCAGCCTATTAATCCTTATTTTATACTGCACCAACCTTTAACAACACAATATATTGCAGGATACATGTTGATTTATTACGACTAGCCAAAGTGACTGCGATCAAACCTCTGTCGTCGTCGGAGGGAGTATGTCTCTGAATCCTAGCTGCTAGGAATCACAAGTGAGGAGAGTGCTGTGGTGCTCAGCTCCTGCCGTTGGGCTTCCCATAGTTTTCAGGTTCGATCCCCGAATGGGACAGCTGCATATTCCTGCATTGCAGGGGGTTGGACTAGATCAAGCTTCCTCAACCTCGGCCCGCCAGATGTTTTGAGACTACAATTCCCACCATCCCTGACCACTGGTCCTGCTAGCTAGGGATCATGGGAGTTGTAGGCCAAAAACATCTGGAGAGCCAAGGTCGAGGAAGCCTGCACTAGATGATCCCCAGGGTCCCTTCCAACTCTTTATGTATGATACCTAGTTGGCTGCTGTGAGAACAGGATGCTGGACTAAAAGGGCCTTTGGCATCATCCGGCAGGGCTTTTCTTATGAAGCCAGCAATGATAAGTAGCCTCCCAGAAGTACAGCGTGCCATTGTGCCCTTGGGACTTGTGCAGGAGAACTTACCTGCCATCTCAAGACGGTCATCTCACCCCTTGCTTTGTAGGAGGAGCCAATGTTTTCTGGATCCTGCTTGTCCACTGATCCCAGCATAGCCCACGAAACCCTTTCCTACTCCAGCAGTTTCAAACGTTTCTTCCTGACATTCATTGCATTACTAAACACACTTTTGGGGGCAGAGGCAGCATTAATCTCAAAAGATCCTACTCTTGACTCAGGGTTGACACAGCACTTTAGTTCCCTTTCCCTAGTGATAATGCTGAAGATCCCAATTTCTGTCCCCACAATTGCAGACACATGAAATATATGCTGTTTAAAATAAAATTTTAAAAAATTAGATATAGCAAAAAACCAAACAAACCCAAAACCCAAAACCACCAGCAGCACAACACTTTAATTTTCTTCATATCTAAGATTTGGGTTTGATATTTGCCCCCACTGGATCATGATAATGCCAGGTCTCGCCTGTCTTTGATCCTCTTCCTCCAGTTGATCTGAAAGTGAAACATGTCTGGAAGGTGGTCCTATGAGGTTTAATAATAATAATAATAATAATAATAATTTATGTATACCCCACCCATCTGGCTGGGCTTCCCCAGTTTTGGCGGGAAAAACTTGGGTACGGTGCAAAAGATCTCCTAGAGACTTAGGCTGAAAATTAGGCAGAAATGTCTATTGATTTCCATTTAAATGTTTCATTTGTCCAGTGCAATGCTGTGTCATAAAAAGGGCAGGCACAATCAATCAGGGACTGTGCGGCTAGATCACTCCCACAATAATTGACTTAGCCTGAGTCCCTCACACCCACCTATAGCTGTATGCTCTCCATCTGCAGCTCTCAACCCCTGGGTAAAAACTGCCCCATCGTTTTGACAGTCAGGGTCAAAGGACCATGGATTGAAGGAATCCAACATCAATCTCCACTAAATATGCTTAAATCGGTACTTTTCACGGCATTCTCCAGCTCTTCAAAGCAAATCAAAAACCTGCATTTGTTAGAATGCACATTTGATTCAAAAGTGGTTCTCCTTTTTTTATTTACTTACCATATTAAGTTTCCAATCCTGAGCACACTTGCCTGGGAGTAGATAGAACTGAACTTAGCGCGATTAACTTCTGAGTAAATATGCAGTTTATAATTTGTTTTGTCCCATCCTTCCTCCCGGGAGCTTGGTGGAGTGGGGAGGGTGCATATTTTACCCTAACAACCCACCCCGTAGGTGGATTAGAATGACCAGAGAGAGTGATTGGCCACTTAACATGGTTTTTGGCTGTGTGTGCACAATGCACACATGCAAAGAACACACTTTGATGCAAAGAATTCTGGGAACTGTACTGGGAATTTTCTCCTCACAGGGATATAATTCTCAACAACCCATAACAGACCAGTGCCCAGAATTCTTCGAAAGATGTAAAGTACACAGCTTTAGTTGTTAGCGCCACATTTAGCTATTGGCATCAATAGCATTCCCCCATGCTAGTTTTTTGGCTGTATTATTTTGATTCCACACTGTTTTATGCTGGTTTTTAATGTGGCCTTAGCCAATGTTTTGCCATCTTGGCTACATTATTATGTTATGTGTCTGGGTGCCCTTTTACACTGTTTAGTGAACTTACCCAGCTGTTTTGTTGAATGGGTGGTAGGGGAATTTAATAAGTAAGTGGCCAGATTCCCTCAGAGGTAAATTCCAGTGGGGCTTGGTGTAAGATTGCAGTTTTGCCTCACTTGTGACAAGACTCAAATGGCAGAGCTGTAGTGTTGGTGAAAGAGACAATGTGTGGTTCTTCACAATGACATGGTGTTAAAGCGGAGTCCTTTTACCACCTGTACCAACCTCAGGTAGCCATTGGCTTTTATTTCCTCGCAGGAATAACCCTGAGCCCTCTTAGTTGTCACAGGTTGGAAGAATTCAGCTTTCTTTGGCTCAGAATTTGGGTTACTTCATTGCAGGAAAGTAAGATATGCACATTTTACTGTGTGGAATTTTGCTACTCACAGCTCTTGAGGTCTGCACAGAAGGAAACGGGCGCCAAAAGTTGGTCTAAAAACATGAATCTTTGTAACATTTGAACTGGTCAGCTACTACTAAGATTGTGAATAAGAGGAGCTAGAATGGAGGACGAATGATATATTTTGGGAAGGAGTGTGCAAGCTTTCAAAGAATTAATTATTCGCCTGCTTACTGAAGAACTAGAAGCCTGTGGTCGTGGAATACACACAAAATCGGAAAGCTTGCATTAGCTTAAACCCATCAAACTATTCCCAGCCAATAAAACATATATAGCTTTTGCTACTTCATTATCTTCTGCAGAAAGCAGAACAAGACAACCAAACAGCCATAAACAGGATGACTCCTCAAGCTACGTAATTTGTGAAGGGAGAAAGCTTCTGTTAAAAACAACAGCAACATACACACACGCTTGTTTTATTTAAAATGTCTTTTTATTCCTCAGTCAAGGATCCATATTGCACACTGGGGATTACAGTTTTTTCCCTTATATACAGTACATACAACAACTTAAAATAAATAAAGGTACATATCGCTGCCTCCCCCTTTCTCTCCTGCCCTCTTCTCAAGTCAAGTATATTTTGGGAAGGGTGTTGGAAGGAGATGGAAAACTGAACTCTCTCTCCCCTTCCCTCCGTGTGTTTCATTTTCCAAGGTGTGTTCCAAAAATGGAAAGGATGCTTTAAAAAAAAGAATAAAAATGGTGATAGGAAATGCAGAATTTTAAGGAAATTCATTTGAGGATGTAATTGTAGCTACATGTAACCAAGGCTACAATCCTATACTGTACATGTTTACCTGACTTTGGATTGCACTGCAAATCATATACATTATTCACTGGGAAAAGCTGATTTTTCACTCTCTCTCCATCTCCCATTTCCAATTCCTTTGGAGGAAAAAAAGTAATAAATATGTTTGGGGTCTTTTCCTAAGTAAATTCCTCTTCTCTGTCTTTATTAATTAAAGTTTCTTAGCTCTGAACCATTCCCAGATTACTAGCACCTCACTTGTGTGATTTTCCTTATTTTTCCTTCTTGAAAAATGGAGAAGCACTTATTTAAAACCTGAAAGTGATGGTCAATGTGGTGACTCCCTATTTTCTCTTCCCTTTCTTCCAACCATCTCTCTCTCCCTCTCCCTGCCCCCTTCAGCCTTCCCTCAAGTCTGCCCAAATATATCTTTCTCTCTTGCACAGTTCAATTGATTTACCTGAAAACAGAGGCTCTTTCTGCTTTACATTTCAAAGCTAATTATGCAAGGCAAGGAAAGTGTGTGTGTGTGTGTGTGTGTGTGTGTGTGTGTGTGTGTGTGTATATATATATATATGAGAACTGAGAGCACCTGAGTCTGGCAGGTAGGGGAACACACTAGAGATTGTTCTGTTTGTGTGAGGTTTTTAATTTTTTTTCTACCTTTTCAAAAAGCGGTTGCACTCTACAAAAGGTTGTTGCTGATTTTTTTTTTAAGTATTTTACTTATTTTTGTCCATTTCTTCCCCCAAATAATCTAAGGAGGCCTGCTCACTCTTTCCCTTGTAAAAAGTGGGTCTTCCAATCACCCTTTTTGAACTAATTTGAAAGCTGCCACCACTCTGTTGTGAACAATTATTGTATTATGTTGCTAAAATATGAGTTTCCTTTGGGAGCTGTAGAAAGAACTAACACAATTCTCAGGCATGTTTACTCAATTGCTTTCTGAGTTCAAGTGGGTTTACTCCCCTGTGCATGGAAAAAAACAACCCCACCCATAGCCAAAAGTGTTGCATCCAACTAAAATTTTACTCAGGCTAGACCCATTCAAGGACCCAAGTTAGTCATACCCATTCATTTCAATGGGTCTCCTCTATTACTAACACTGGATACAGTATTGCAACACTATAATTAAAGGAGCAAAGTTATTGGTACTCATTCATTTCAGTGGTTCTACTCTGAGTATGAATACCATTGGATGCAATATTGCAATACTACAGTAACCTGGACTAAGCCCCATTGAATACATTGGAACTGGCTAGTAGGCAAACATACACCCACTGTTTGCTTTTCTTCCTATATGTTCATGGAGCTTTAAGGACACAATCTAGGGGGAAAAGTCTTATGGAACTCACACAGGAGGATATTAGCTTTAAAGCCCCAGAAAGAAACACACACCAATGACTGCTTCTCTATATTTCCGCCACTGGAAATTTTTGATGTGTTCAATTTGCCCATCTTCAGCTTCTATCAAATATTTTAAGATCTTAAGTTATTTGTGTCTATTTATAGCATTGCAAAACACTACCAAAAATCTTTCAGAAAGATACAGCAAGTTGCCAAGGAATTTTAGGATGTAAAAAGGGCATTTACAGATGGAGAGAAGAGGGATTGTTACATTCTGCACACAGAATAATTCCATGTTGTTGAGAACTTGTTTAAGGGATACGAGAGAGAATATTTAGGCATTTCATGGAATGCAATTCCAGCATGTATGTCTATTTTACACACACATCCATATGCTTTCTCCCCATCTGTTAATAGGCTGCAGACACCACTTTCTTGGAAGTAAGCCCAGCTGCACTCAATGGGGCTTCCGTCTGAGCAGAGACAAGCACAGGATTGCACTGTGTGATCTCATCCATTTCAGTGGAACCAACTTACAAGGGCGTGATTTAAAGTCAAAGTCAGAAGTAAATCTCAGTAGGATTTACTCCCAGTTACGTAAATGTGCTGAGGACAACAGCTTCAGGACTGCAGCCTCAATTGGCTAACTTTAATCTAGACTCAGTTTAAGCAAAATAAGCAGGCGGAATTTCTTCCAACTACTGTTGTTTTCTACAAGTATCTGTCTTAGCAAAAACACACACACATAAGGCATAAATAGAACCCTGTGATGAAAGTGCAACAGTGCTGCAGAGATGATATTGGCTTCTACAAGTAAGGCTTAAATCGTTTTTTGTTTTAAATTTCTTGCACAAGAATAAAGTGTTTGTACACGGCATGAAGTATTTCATGCATTTTTAGTTCTGCAATGCAATTGTGAAACCTATCGTTGGTTAGAACAGTGGATCCCAAACCCTTTTCGCCTCCATGGGCCACTTGAAAATTGCTGAGGCTCTTGGCAGACCACTTAGTGGTTTTTCTGCCTGTTGTAGCAATTGGAAATTCACTGTGCCAGATGCTGTATGGTTTTTAATTGTATTTCTATTGCTTCTTTTATTCCGTAAGATTAAAACTGTAATGCAATAAAATGCAATAGAAGAAATGAAAGAAAGACAAATACAATTTTAAATATCAGGCCAACTGAATGGAGCTCGTAGTCTGGGAACTCCTGGGCTAGAATGTGCAACGGATTTGAAAATGCCCCACTTTCATATCCTATCTTGCACTGATAACATTGACATATGCCAACAGGGGCAGGGGGAAGAAAGAGAGGCTCCAAGGACCATTGCGGACAGTGTTGACTGTCCAAAATGTCATCAGCTACCACTACACAAACTGTAAATATTTTTGCATTTCTAGGAAAAAGCTCAGAGGTCATCCCTGCCAGTAGTAGGCAGACTGAGCTGGCTGGTTCTGGTGAAAGATGGCACTGCTAGCAAAGGTGAGCAAATTGCCAAGTTATATCAGCTCTTATTATGATAGTTATTACTACTACTGGAGTGGGTGCCGCTACTGTCTGGATTTCATAACTTCCGACGCCTCAAAACCATGCCAAACATTTGGGGACGTGTGTGTCTCCCTGACAAAGGGGGCAATTAGCAGATCAATTAGGTTACATCTTTAAAAACCTCATATTTTCACAGGGATCGGACAATACACATTTGCCAAATAATCTGACTGTAACGGCCTCCTTTGAAAGGGCCATCACTCAGGTGAAAACTAAGAAGTTCCCATGTTTACATGCACTCAAAATAACCAGGGCTGTTGCTTAGCAGAAGATAACTTTGAAATAATAATTAAAAAGAAAATAAAAGAACAATACATGCAACTTTAAAAGCACACTTGAATCTTTCTTACACTCTTTGGACATATGTGTGAATGTTCTCCATGCTGCATTTTTTTTAAAAAGTCACTTTTTAAATTTACGTACAGGCTAGCAAATATGGAATGTATATTTACATCACAGCTGCAGGAATAACATGCACATTTAGTGTCATGTATGAAAAAAAATGTCTGTGAATGCACCTGAAACTGGTACATTGCAGCTTACAAAAATCCAGCAACTTCCCATCTGTGAAACACACTCAAAGAGACAAAGGTGTGTTCTCATCAATTTCAATGGAGGAAGCAGACCAGAGCACAATTTACTTTGCACAAATGCTTCCTGCACAGAAATGAATGGGTCTATATACCGGTACATGTATACACATGTTCCATCTGATCATCAGAGGAAATGTGAGGTTCTGTATTTAGAGAAAGGAGATTGCAACCCTGCTCTACAGAATACTACTCCTGGTAACCCTCAGATCACTGGATGAAATAACCTTTTCAGCTGAAACTGTTTTGTGTTTTTTTTTTAAAAAAAAAAATTAATGGCAACTGTTTTTAGATGTTTTAAACTGTTTTTTTTTTAGAACCTTTTTTCAGGGTGGGGAAAAGGATGTTGTTTGCTACCCTAAGGAGGAATGGTGGGATAATGAAGTTAATATATAATTTATCACCATCATCCTATAATCCATGGGATTTTTGCCACCAAAGAAGCAGGACTGCACCCCTGTAACGTGCTTCCAGAGAAGTAAATTCAGTGGGACTTGTTTCACAAGTAAAGATGCTTAGCACTGCAGCCCTAGTCTCTGAGGTGCTTCCAAACCTGGCAGCTGCTAATACTTTCTTGAATAATACAATTCAGGATAGGTATATGCACGCATTGTGTACTCGTAATTTCCTCCTGCACGTTAGCATACACATACATAAACCACATGTGTTTTGTACGCACAAGCTGACAACACAGGCATTCATGTGATAAGTACGTGCTCTTTCCAACATGTAAAAAAAGAGGTGGGGCTGGCGAGTTGAATACCACCACACCAAGCCTTGAAAAAGGAACACATATCTATGCATAGCTGCATGTACATTTTAAAGAACAATGAAACTGAAATTACATGCAAATTATACACACAAACACACAAATGAGATGGGGCACAATCCGCCTGGAAGTTCTCCTGCGTGACCCCTCTAGAGATGAATGGGTGATGCACAAGATGGGTTCTCATGCACCTCCCATTCAAAGGGGTTTGTGAAAGAGGAACTCCTGGTGGATGGTGCCTGTGATTCCTGTGTAGCAAGTGGGGCAGATAAACCAGAGAAGAGGTTATTCTTTCCTTATATAATGAGATATGTAAAATGTCCCTGCTAAATGCAATCTCCTGTTTATGCCAGAACAAAAAAAGAGAGAGCAAATCTTCTATTTGCTGCTTTCTCGTGCTTGTTAACAGTTAAGAGTATTTCTTATATTTATATAAAGGAAAGGGAGAGGGGAGCAGTGTTTAAGCCCTGATCCTGAGGAGAAGGCTGTGTATGCATGCACACTGTAGTGCCTGCAGATAAATTACACAACTTATGTATGTGTGCATAGGGCTCTCCTGTGGTGTAAGACATGCATTTTCCCTCTCTGAATGTAACACCCCCAAATTCCGCAGCCTTCTGCATACTGGTCAATATGCTCTGGAAACCTCATTCCACAAACTGCTTTCACTGATTGTTGTGTCTTTCAAAGCTGCTCCCCCCACCCCCATTTTAACAAATCCCTTTTATGTCGTGTTTCATACTGAATTTCTTTCTTTCCTTCCTTCCTTCCTTCCTTCCTTCCTTCCTTCCTTCCTTCCTATCACTCTTTCTTTCTGTTTCTCTCTTGTTCGGCTCACTATTACAAAACTCCCAATGAAGTTAAAGGTAGAAATTGAAAGGGGGGGGAGGAGCAGGGAGAGGACATGTCAATATTTGGCCTCCACTGAATTCCACATTCCTCCGAAAATAAGGTGTGCAGTTAAATGAACAGGGCTGTCTGCCTGGCAAACACCAGGACCCCTCCCTTCTTTTATGCAAAGTTGGGCTCAAATTTTGAACACAATAAGACAGGGCTGAGAAGGGTTTTTGAAGAAAATTAAGACAGCAGCAAGAAGAAAAATCTCCCCACCCCACCCCCGTCATATTCCTCCAGTTTTCCCAAGTCACCAGAACAGCCAAAAAGACCAGGCTATACAAGTTGACAGGAAAATAAAATAAAAATAAAAAGCCCACAACCCTCTTTTTTTCCTTCTGATATCAGCAAAAACAACTTACGATCTAGGCAACAAATATTCAAAGCTGGTTACTGAAAAGGGGGAGTTTTCAGTCACAACAATGTTAATTTAGTCCTCCACATACAAAGCACCCAAGTTATGTTGTGTTCCCAGGAATAATCTGGTTTCATTCTTTTTGTTGTTGGGGGAAAAAAATCTGGGGGCAATTAAGGTGGAAATCCTCCTTCATCAAGGTAGTCCAAATGAATGTATTCTACCCAAGAGAATTCATACAAACTAATTTAAACCCATTTTTTCCCCTTTAGGGGCATGGGAAAGCTACTCCTCATTTCCTTTCAAAATTGATTTGAACAATACAAATTCCCCTTTCTCTCCAACAAAAATGCAGGTTGGCAAAGGGAAAAAATAAACCAACAGAACTACACTAAGCATATTTACTGAGTTCCACTGGAATTCCACCCTTATTCCTCTCAAAAAGAGTGTCAAGACTGCTGCCTGCAGAAGGCAGAATATTTTGGCCAGGGGCAGGGGGGGAAAAAGAGGTTTCGCTATTTTAAACATGTTTAATCAGAAGTGAGTACCAGAAATTGCAACATGGGGTTATTCCCTTGCAACTGTGTCCAGGATTGCAACCTTTTAAAAGCATCTTATTTTCTCCGTTCCAAGTTCACTTTGATTCACTGCCACTTCCAAAAATCCGTGAAACTCAAGAAGCCAGAATTTCCCCTAAGTTGAAATCTGCAATTTTAATCCATTATTTATTTTGTTTTATTTTCCCCAGGTAAGATTCTTGGGGAGGCGAGGAGGAGAAAATGTTGTTTTAATAGAAGGAAGGTGGGAACAAAGACTGTCCAAAATATGACAATTACCCGGAGCAGTAAAAACAAGTCTATAATGGGGGCTTACTTCCAGATAAACATGTTTCAACCTTTGGGTTTAATTCCCAATAATTCCAGAAATATTCACCTTAGAGAACAACCCCTTCTTTGCACTGATTAAAAAACTGTTCTGTGACCTCCGCTGATTGTACAGCAACTCCAGAGTAACAGTTCTGGCTTGTGCCCTGAGATCCAATTTTGAAACGGGGGGGAAATATATAGCTTGAGGTTTGGTTTTGATTTCAGGCAGGCAGGGAAACCTCTGAAGACAAAGAGGAATAATAAAAGGAAAGAACATTTGTTTGTATCAGGGAGGGAGGGGGTGTAGTTTCCTCTGACAGTGTGGTGGGGGGGGGGGAGAATCTCTTTTTTCTGCATTCCACTTTGGAGATCAAATTGTCCATCTGCATTTCATTGCAAATTTGCCCCTGGATCCAATTTCTTTTTCCAGTAAATTTTTAAATAAACAGAATGTTACCGAAGGCTACTTAAAAGTCAGGGTTCTATTAGGCAACAAACAACAACCTCTTTTTTAAAAAACACAACTGTTTCAAGTAACCCTTTTCTCTCCCTCTCTTTCTTTCTTTTGGTTCAAGCAAGATCAGGGATTTATTTATCTTTTTTATTTTTCCCAAATGAAGTTGCGTCACCCACTTCTGCACCTTTTCAGTAGACAGTAGAATATACTTAATTTTGCTTAAAATCACTTTTTGCACCATTCAACACGCACACACAAACAATCCCAAATTTAGGCAAAAAGAAGGGGGGGGAATTCCATTCTACTAAAAAAAAATCCCCTTGCAAAATTCTGCTGTTGGGGATAAAACAGTCACTTTTGTCTTGCTTTAGTTTTAATCAGGAAACGGATGGAGGCTGGGGGGGGGGGAGGAGTGATGCTTTGATGAGTTTAATGTGCGGTGGTTGAAAGGCCATGCCATTTCTCTTCCAAATTAAGGAAGAAAGGTGGGGGAGGGGAGGGGAGTATACTTTTAACTTGGCAAATGAGGGAGGGGGAGAAGAGAAGGGTCTTTCACTGGGGAGGGGGAGGGGAGGCTGCCTTGAAACTTTCTCATTCCTCACAACACACCCACAACTCTTTTAAATTTCTCTGCATGGAGCAAACCACTCCAGATTAAAAGGAAGGGGGAGGTCAGCTATGCCCCAAACTTCCTTTGTGTCTTTTTCCCCCTAACAGACCTTTTCTGCCCTCCCCATATTAAAATGTTGTGCATATTAAGCCAAAGTATTGCTACCATAAATATCTTTTTTTTTTTAATTACACAACACCAAATTTTGTTCTCCAATCTCTTTTACACTCTTTCAGTACTGCTGTGTTTTTTGTGTGAGTGGTTTTTTTTCTTCTTCATTTTAAATCATCAGTTACTCCACACTTGAGGCCTACTTCCAACCAAGGTTCAAATTTCAACATTTCAGAAGTTGTGGGATCTTTTGAAGAAAGTGAGGAATGAGAAAGCTCTTTAAAACAAAGCTTTTGTTCTTTTTAAAGTAAAGGAATGCCAGAAATTCCATTTGTCAAGGCATCCTTAAGGGTTAAAAAAAAAAAAGTAATCATGATTGGAAAGTCGGATCTCTTCCTACCCTATTTAACACATTTACTTGAAAATAAGTTCCACTGATTTCAGTAGAACCTACTTCTAAGAAACTGTGTTTTAAGATCACAAGCTGCTGTCACCAACACACTTATTTGGAATTAAAGGCCACTGAAACAAAAAATGTTACAGCCGAGTAAATTTTTTTTCCAGATTGCAATATCAGATTCTCCATCTCTCTTTTTTTGGCTACATATTCAATTCACTTCGTCCCCCATCCCAAAAAAAAAAAGTCAACCTGTTGCACGTAAACCAGCTTATATCCTCCATCTAGAATTCCTCTAAACGGTATCCCCGGAATTTCAGGCTGGGGGGCACGGGGATGGCATTGCCCCCCAGCTGCCAGGTCCAAAGCGGGTGCGTTTTGGAGAGGGCGCACGAGTCTTTTACGCACAGAGAGGACGCAGGACACAGATCCCCATCAGAGCCGACGACCAAAGCGGGCGTACAGGGAAAGGTACCCATCAAAGAAAACGGATTCCTGGCAGGAGCCGGGCTGGTGTGGAGCAAGCGTTTGCAAGGCGGCGTGGCCCCCTTTTTGGTCGTCTTCCTCGAAATCTTTGGGGGCCTCCCTTTGGCCTGCCTTTCCTGCTCGGCACGCCTGCGTTTAGCGTTCCTTTCTAAGTCGCTGCCGCTTTTAGCCAGGCTGAGGAGGCCGGCTCTGGAGGCGGAGGAACTCCCTTTGGCCTGCTCGGCCCTGCGCAAACCTTTCCCGTCCACATTGAAGCCTTTGGCGTAGCACCACAGCTTGGACTGCCTGATAAGCCTGTCGAATTGAGCTTCCCGCCCCGACCCTTCCTTGGAGTCCTGGTGCAGAGCTGATTCCTCAGCCTTGTCCGGCTCGCCAACGTGGAGGTCCTCACGGGAGCAAAGGAAGTCGGCGTCCTTGGAGAAGTCTTCGCGCTCCGGGGCGCACGACTCCGAAGCTTCCCGAAAGCCTCCCTTTGGCTGCGGGCCCTCGCTGGGGCTGCTGGGACGGGCAGGGAAGACGGGAGAGCTCCTCGCCTCCTGCTTTACTCGGGGTTCCGGGTCCTCACGCGGGGGCACCTTTGGCGCGATGGTAGGAGCCGGCTTGAAACTTTCCAAAGTGGAGGCGCGCAGCGTCCTGGCCCAGAAGAGTAAGTTCGGGTCAGGGCGCAAGGCTTTGGTTACGCCCGAGAGGGCTTGAGGAGAGGCAGCTTGGGGTGGGATCCGAGGAAGCGCCGCCTGCCTGTAGCGGGTACTCTGCACCGAGTCCCCGCTACACAGGGAGCTGCTTTCCGACCCGGAGGAGCTGCCTTCTTCGCTGCTGCAAGATGACTCTTCGTCGTCGTCGTCTTCTTCATCGTCCTCTTCCGAGGAGTCGCTGGAGCTGGCCGCGCTGGACGCGCCGCTGGAATCCGAGTCGCTGGAGTAGCCGGCCGACGTGCCTTGCCTCTTGGGGCCCGCGAAGGATGCCGAGCGACCCTTCTCCTTGCCGAGGCACCCGCAAGCCGAGCGCTTGGTGCGCCCGGCCTCCGCCTCGCCGGGCGCTTGGCTGGTGCCGTGCGCCCTGACGGCCGAGTGGAGGAGCTGCAAGTCGCCGGGGTAAGCGCTCAGCACGCCGGCCAAGAGCTGCTCTCGGCCGCTGCGGCTGTAGCTCTTCGGCAGCGGCGCGGCTTTCTCGTAGCCTCTGGCGAACGGGGCCCCTAAGAGCGCGTCCCGTTTGGCGCAGCCGGCACCCACGTTGGCGCGAAAGGCGCCGTCGGCTGCGCTGTACGCGGGAAGTAACCGGGGCCGGTTGAACAGGTCCCCGGCTTCCCTCCTCTTGCTTTTCCTCTTCCTCTTCCTCTTCCTGGGGGCCAGGGCCTTGCAAGAGGTGCAGAGGGCCTCCAGGTCCGCCTTGGAGATGAGCGAGCACTTGACGGCGCGCGTTGGCACGGACTGGATGGCTTTGAGGGTGCGCAGCTCCTTCAGGTCGCAGCGGCGGCTCTGGATCTTGAGACTTTCCATCTTCTTGCTCACGGTGGCCCTCGGGATGTCCTTAAACAGGTCGCTGAAGACCTGCGTCAGGGCGAACATCCGCGTGCCGTTGATCTGCAAGTAGCCCAAAGTGATGCCGTCGATTTCCTGGTAGCCAGCTTGGAAATCTCCATTGTAATCCACGGTGGCGGCGGCAGGAGCCATCCCGCAGGTCAGGAACATGTTTGTTTATCTGCTTCTTCGTAAATAAAAGGGGGGGGCTTCGCAGCCACCAGCGGGGAGGGGAGCTAGAAAGAGGGGATCCTCTCCCAACCCCTCCTCATGCTCCCTCCTACCCCCCAAAATCAACCCGCCGCCCTTGAGTGATGAATTTTCCTTTCGAAGGCATCCCTTGAGGCTCCAGAGCCGCCTTTTCTCTCTGCCTTTCTTTCTTGCTCCACTCTAGAAATCCAGAGAGGGTTGCAAAGGAGAAGATTGTGGTCTTGCCATGGTCCTTTCCCTCCTCCTCCTCCTCCTCCTCCTGGTACCTTTCCTATCTTAGTCTGCCGGTGTGTGTTTGGTGGGGAGGGGAGGGAGGGAAGAAACAAGGAATCTCCCCCCTCTCAGCGTGCCTCTTTTTTCAAAAAAAAAAGCTCTCCTTTGAATTTGCAGATAGATCTTTAAAACCAACGAAGTCCACAGCCGAAGAAAAAGAGAGACAGTAGCACACACATTTAAAAAAAAAACCACTCCGTAAAAGAGGTCTTTAAAAGCACCCAGGTTGCACACCAAAATCCTTGTCATGTCCACCTTTCCCCCACCCCCCTTTGGCTTCTTTCTTCAAGACAGACTTGGAAGTACAGTATATTATAGGAAACACCCCACGAAATAATTTTCTCCAGAGCGTGAGCTGATTGGGTACTTTAACCTGGTGATGTCATAAAACCCCCAACATTGAACACACACCCCCACCCCCACGTAAAACCCTCATATAAAAAAACCCCTTTCATTTAAGAGTCAATCTGACACTGTCCAAAGAAGTAAGAGGAGCTTCGTATATACATGTGAATTGAGAGGCGGAGGTTGTGAAAAGATTTTTATGTATGTGCCTACGTATGTAGCCCATACAGCCATTTCCCTGCCATTGCTCTCTACACAATCTCTGCAATCTTTTCAAAGTACTGCTTTTACATTAAAAAATAAAATAAAATCTGCAGAATATTTCCTTCGAACGTTGTTAATGTTTTAATACTTGCCAACTGTATTACATTTGAAGGCCCCCCCTCCCCCACTTACCAAATCTCTAGCTAGGATTATATATTGTCATAGGCTTTTTTTTAAAATCTGCTTTATTGGGAGGCAAATACAATTTTCTTTGATAGCTTTCTGTCTTTGGGAATGCTTTTTGGAGTGGGGAGAGGGTGATAGCCTTTAGAATTTTATTTTAAAAAACCCCCGCTAAGCTTAAGAATGACAGGCACCCATCAGTTCGCACAAGAATGGCTTGCTCTTTTAAAAACCAGGTCAATATTTTTTTTGCTCTGCAATAATTACACCCCCTATAACATAATTATTATTATTTAAGCACCTTTTATTACTGTTTTTCCCCCATGAATCTTTTGTCTCTTTGTACCTTTCCCAGATAAGTTTTCTTCCTTTCGCCAACCTTCTGAATGAATTGTGTTTTTTAATTAGCTCTTCTTGAGTCCTCACCTTTTTTTTTTTTTTAAGAAAAAGGAGAGTATTGGGGAGGCAACCGTTTTGTTACTTACTTATAACAATATATGTGTCGCAATACAGCAGGAAGTTATCCAGTTCCAATGTCATTTGAAGTGAATGGGAGCTGCGCAAGAACTAAGAGCACTGATTCTGTGGGTTTTATGTAAAAATCTGTTGGTTGCATTTTCTAGCTCAAAACAGTATGTAAAGAGATTTGACAAATAAAATAACCAGAGTGAAAAACCAGCTTATTTTCTTTTCATTAGGAAGGTTTCTGTTCTTACATGGAATTGTATCTTTTCTTTTCACAACTGCCATTTCCACCCCACCCCCCAAAAAAATTAAAATTAAAATTGGTGGTGAGGTACAAAAGATACCTCCACACTTTTCATTCCTACACTGCCCCATAAAGACTGACCAAATGTTTTCAAATTCAGCTCTCTGTGGTATGTTCTAGACTTCTCAATTGATTCAATGGCCCATTGCATTTGCAACCATTCAGCTGGATTAAGCATCTTAGGTGATTTCCTGTATTTTGCCAGTAAACAAGTTGCTGTAGAAAAGATTCACAAACAAAGCCTTGGTCTTAACTATTAAAATATCCAAGCCACAATTGTGTTGGAATTGAAAGGGAAGGTTTGATTCTGTTTCTCTTCTAAATATTCCATAAAATCTCTTTCCAGCCCATTAAAAAAGAAAAAGGAAAAAAACAAGGGAGTTTCCCACCAGACATGTAAAAAGTTCAGCATTGTCTATGAATGCTCTCCACTTTGATGTGTATATGTCTTATAAATCCTGTTCAGTCTGTAAGGTGTCAAGTGCCATTGATATACAGTTTTTGCATATGATTCGCATTTGCCTCTGTTAAGCCTACAGGTTGTCAGAATTAACCGAGATCAAAGAATCATAGTTCGTTCCATTCTGTGGGGTCAGAAATGATTATTGATCTTGTTTTTATATAAAATAACCAGCTATATTCACTTCTGTATAAAATTGTGCCTGAAGAAAGCTAGTTTGCAATCTGGTCTTTTGAAGTTGAATCTCTTCCTTTGTCAATTCTTGGAGGTGGACTTTTACTGATTTCCATGGAATTTGCTTTCAAGTAAATATATATATATATTTAATGCTCAGGGTAGCATAACCGTCAGGATGCTTAAGCAACAGTTTTGTCCAATGCAGGGCGGGATGTGTAGATGTATAGGTACCATTAATTCATTAATTTTATTAAATTTGTATGCCACCCTTCATCCGTAGATGTCAGGGCAGCCTACGTAATTGGTGTGCCAGAATAGGTTTCCAAGTGTGTGTTTTCCGTACCAAGTGTGAAGAAGGCTGTTGAGCAAAGAACAAGGAGCTGCATCCCAACCCTTTTGTAGCACATGGGTAATTCCGCGCTTTTGCCTCTACGAGGAAATGGGTGTTGCAGCTGCTCTTGTGTCCTGCGGTGGGCATGATGTAACCCTCTGCTTCTCCTTGACTTCTCTGGAAAGAAGCCAAGGGCCACAATTCAGTACACAGCTATGCACCTTTCAGCCCATTGTTTTTTACCTTCACTGTTTCTCTTCAAGTTAGCCTGACGATTTCCGGTGGGAAGGCGGCATCCTTTTGTTGTTGCTGCTGCTGCTGCTAAATTTATATGCATGCTTTCCCTTTCCACTAATCTATGTTCTTTCATTTAATTCCACCTTTCTTTAAAACATCCTCTGAGGGAAATGATTTTTTTGCATGTATTGCCAAAAAAAAAAAAAAGTTTTTGTTTCAGAAGTTGATCTTAAGTCATTGATTTCTACTTCTGTGAAGGCACAATCCAGTGGGAAGTTCTCTTGCACAAGCTCCATTTATTAAAATTGGGGGTGGTGGTGTTTTTCACGGGAGAACTTCTCCTGGACTGTACCCTTCCCTTTTTTTTACTCCTGATTTGGTAAAATGGACTCAGAGGAAAAGTGTCACCTTTGGGAGGGGGGTTTCCCTATGTAAAATTGTCTTTAGGTGCAGAAATCCCCAGATTTTGTCCCTTCACCATACTTCATCGGTTTTGTCTTTGCTGTCTCTCCTTGTCTCTCATATCTATTCCACGCTGCCTATCTTTGTACATCATGATTATCCAACCACTCCTTCCTCTATATCTTTTATTCAATTCAGTATCTGACCCCTTTTCTCTGCTATTGTTACCCATGTTGTTGTTTCCCTTTGTAATGGGATCTGCCCCCCACCCACCCTGCCCAGCAATGCAGATTTGATATGGGGACTTAACATCCCCAGATTGGATCTGAATTCAACAGTGCTTTGTTGTTGTAAAAAAAAAACAACAATAAACCAAACGGAATTCACCAACCTTCAGGATAAAGTGATATGTGATTAAAAAAAGCATGTTGTTATTTTGAATGCGGCTATTAATGTTGCCCTTGCTATATGTTTTTCAAAAATAAAAATCTGAATCTCTTTTTCTCAAGAATTCACAAACCGAAAAACGCAGCAGTTCCAATCACCGCAAACTGAAACACTTTTTTGTCATCCTGTAGCTTGTCCTTCCCTTGGAAATATTTTCTCCTTAAGGATACAATACATACTATATATGTTTACTTTCAGGAATTTCATTTCAGTCAACAAGGCCTGGGCTGTCCCCACTTACCTGAGAGTAGGGCTCTCAGGAGTCAATGAGATTTGCTTCTTAGTACATATTTATTGATTTGCACTATTAGCTTCCAAGCAAATTGTGTGTTTAGGGCAGGGATGGCAGTGGCTAGGAACACAATCTTTAAAATTTGAAACACTGGATTAGGAATATACCAAACCATTGGAGGAGTCCCTGATAGCTGACAACTTTATGAGTTGCGCAAAAGAAGAAGGGAGAGATTTGAAGTAAGGGGCATGTGACCTTATTTGCATGTATTTCTCATCAATTATGTCAGTGACCCAAAACCTCTGACTTTTGTTTCTACTGTTTTTTTTTTAAAAACTCAATGGAAATAAATGGGTGATGCATTTATGCCATTAACAAAGATGAAGGTTTAAGAAATCTTTCATTGGTTAAGAAAATGACCACGCTCCCCTAAATAAAAATCCGCCTCTAATTCTCCCAGAAGAAAAAATTCTCTCTGTGTGTGTTTGCGTGTGTGTATGTGTTCATGTTTGACTGTTTCATCCATTTGGGTTCTACTTGTTGCATGACACAGAGGTTTGGATGGGCATCTTAAAATAAGATTCCCCACTCCTTTTTGCAGATGTGAAGAGGAGGATCCCTGATTGGGTTTTTGTTTGTTTGTTTATTCCCACTGAATGCTCAAATTGCAGGCAGCCTAATCAAAGTAAAACAAGGGTGGAGGGATGCTGGTTTGCTCACGGTGGGCAGAATCCTCTGGGAAGGTCTCCTGCACAAGCCTTCCTGAAATGTGCATACTTTTGCAGTGCCATCTTATTTCAGCGCATTTTGTGCAGGAGATCTTCCTCTGTGGCTGTGCTGTACACTGGACTGCCTTAAACTCCATGGGATTGTTTTCCTTTAAAAAAAAGAGAGAGAGAGAACCCTTGTAATTTGTACTTTTGGAGACGGGCAGGTAGAGAAATGCGCCCTTCCCCCTGGCTCTCTTAATTGTGCACACTTTCAAGTGCATATCTGAGCACAAGGTTTTGCCCCACCACAACTGAAGCACTTGTAGCCGTCCTTGATTTCAACCTGCATGCTTGGTATGTGTTTAATAGAGCCGCTCTCGCCCTGGGGAGCTTCTGCCAACACACAATTCAGGACAGCCTCCTTTTCTGTGCACGGCTACCTACGAAGGGATCGAACTGGACGTGATGGGAGCAGGTCTGTGTGTCAAAACCGAACTATGCCCCATGCACAGAGAAAGCAGGTGGATATTAAACAGAATGAAACAGCGGGGGATGCACAGGCAGCGATGCTCAGATTCCCCTTTTCTGCATGCAGCTGGGCTCCAATACAAGAGGTGATCCTGGGGTGGGGAGCAGTCCACACAAGAAGGTAACGTTCAGCTCCTCTCCTCTGGTTCAGACATTTACTCATAAAACTGGACCGCCACCCCGTTCTTTGTGTTCGGAACAGATCTGGGCTGGAACGCACAGATCTGTCACATCCATTTTGCTTGTAGCAATAAGCCAGTCGGGACCAATTCGGGATCCAAGAATTGCTGCTGCTGCTTTTGTTTGGTGGGAGTTGGCGGATTCCCTGTAAGTTTGCTTCAAGTGTGTACTTAAAAACATGTAAGTGTGAGAATACGGTGAAGGCTGCATGATACAGGTCTCCTCTGCCGGGAGCTGTGATTGTCTGCATCTGAGTGCAGTCCCCTTGTGTGAAGCCTGTCTTTGCCCCCTGTGCAGTGTTTATGAAATGGCCCTCGGGTGCCGCAGGAGATGTTTTGTGTGAGTTTATTACTTCGCTGTCATACTCTTCAGTGCTAATCCAGATCTACCCCAGGAGAGTGTCATTCCCTTATAGACCTGTCACGTTTGGCCGTTGCTAAAGGAAACCATTTTTTTTTTAACCATTCCCAAGGCTGTTAACTGAGGATTCCACAGGATTCTTTGCCAGCCTTCAAAAGTTTTCTGCAGTCGATCTTGGGTCAAATTTTAGCCCCCTCCTTCTGCAAGCACTTGGGAACAGCCGAAGCATCGATGCCAGAGGCTCATGTTCACCTTAACGGAGAGCTCACCTGGAAGGTGGGTTTTTACAGTCTCCTTTAAACCTTGATCCAGTCCTAAAGCTGCTGCCATTGGAGTGAGGCTCATCGATTTTGACTGGACATAGGATTGTGTGGCTGCTCACCTGGTTTTGAGATGGGAGCTGCAAATGAAGCCATACTCATTGTGATTAATTCGTTAAGTTCCTTAATAAAGAGAGTCAATCAATGCACCCGTATTTTGCTATGTTTCATATGGAAATGGCTGACTTGCATATGTTTGCAACAGTGTAAAAAGAGTTCCTTACACCGCCGTGTTTGTTCTTCATGCATTCCAAAAAATATATGGAGAGTGACAACTTGTTCTTTTAAAATGCACTCATTTCTTGCAAACGTCTTGGTGGGTGGGCAAGGGTGGGGGCCAATTTTCATGCAGAATTTGGGATTAAAAATCCCACCCAAAACAGCACAAGTGCTGTGTCCCTTTAAATTGTCCATTAACCACAGCAGCTCAAGAGATTAGTCCAAATTCTGAATGGTGGTGGTTTTCAGGCCTTGGTGTGACTTGAATGAGTTATACAACTGAGAAACCTGCAAAGTTTAGATGGGTTATTCACCCTGTTGATTCCAATGACACTTATACAACCACAGTAGTATTTAGCATTTATAAAGCGCTTTATGTGTTCACTATAACATTATCTTGCTCATCCTTGAAAGCACCCCATAACAAGTCAGTGTTATTATACCCTTATTACAGATGGAACATGCTGAGGTTAATCACTGTCTTGTCAAAACCATCTAGTGTCTCTGGAGAGGTATGATTTGAACCCAGGGGCAGCATAGTTCCATAGGTCCTGTCTCTCAGTTCCCTGTTATACTAGATCTTGAAGGAGTGGTGAAAATCAAACGGGAAAAGCAGAATATGTGCATGAATCGAGTTGGGGAAACACTCCTGTGAGCAGTCGCAGAAGCATTCCTGCCTCACCGTGCTCCTCGCTCAGTGGAGGATGCAGCTACCAAATCTCTTGTCAGATGCCCAACTGACCTGCACTTTCCAATGAATGAAAAGTCCACCACCTCCTGAGGCAGGCAGTTCCACTGTTGAACATCTCTTGCCATTAGAAAGCTTCTCTTGCTGCTTAGTCTAAACCATGGGTAGGCAAACTAAGGCCCGGGGGCCAGATCTTGCCCAATCGCCTTCTAAATCCGGCCCGTGGACAGTCCGGGAATCAGCGTGTTTTTACATGAGTAGAATGTGTCCTTTTATTTAAAATGCATCTCTGGGTTATTTGTGGGCCATAGGAATTCGTTCATTTTCCCCCTTTAAAATATAGTCCAGTCCCCACAAGGTCTGAGGGACAGTGGACTGGCCCCCTGCTGAAAAAGTTTGCTGACCCCTGGTCTAAAGCTTTCCTGTCATTTCTACCCATTGTCCCCTGGAGCAGCAGAAAGCAAGTCTGCTCAGTTGGTGAGAGTGTGGTGCTGATAACACCAAGGTCGCAGGTTCGATCCCCATCATGGACAGCTGCATGTTCGTGCATTACAAGGGGTCAGACTAGATCAGAGGTTTTCAACTTTTTTGAGTCCATGGCTCCCTTAACCAACTACAGTGGTACCTTGGGTTAAGTACTTAATTCGTTCTGGAGGTCCGTTCTTAACCTGAAACTGTTCTTAACCTGAAGCACCACTTTAGCTAATGGGGCCTCCTGCTGCCACCGTGCCGCCAGAGCCCGATTTCTGTTCTTATCCTGAAGCAAAGTTCTTAACCTGAAGCACTATTTCTGGGTTAGCGGAGTGTGTAACCTGAAGCGTATGTAACCCGAGGTACTACTGTACATTCTTTCTGCGGCACTCCTGTGGGGCTCAGGAGCCCAGTTATGTCACCCCTTGCCTGCAGAGCTGGCAGCCTCTCACCCTTTTTTGAACACCCTCCCTTGTGAAGTGTTCCCTCAGCCTCCTCCCCTCTCCTTGGGAGTCCTCCGGGCAGCCGCTGCCATCCCTGGTCTTTGAGCCGCCCCCACCCCAAAGAAAGGTGCCATCCAGAGGCACCATTCACCTGGGGAGCTTGTAGCCAGGGCTGCTGCAATAAACAGCTGTGCAAACCTTTGGGAGGCAGAAACGTCAGAGGGAATCAGAGCAGGGAGGGAAAGAAGGAAAGAGGGACAGAGGCCAGTGTTGCCTGCAGTACCCCTGGCCATCATTCAAGGCACCCCAGGATGCTACAGCACACTGGTTGAAAACCACTGGGCTAGATGATCCTCAGGGTCTCTTCCAACTCTTACGATTTTATTATTCTACTTTCTCTGTGGCTACACTAAAGATGTGTGAAGGGCCATGACCATGTCTCCCTTTAACTTTCTCTTCATCAGGCTAAACATTCCCAGCTCTTTCAGCCATGCCCCAGAGGACTTGTTTTCCAGGTCCCACCCACCCTCAATATTCCCATTTGTCTGTGCGCTGCTTAAAATGTGGCACTGAGATCTAGACTCGGGACTCCAGAGGCAGCCTGACAAGCACAGAACAAAATGGCGCTAGATTACTTCTTGTAATCTAGATATTGCACTTCGCTTTATGCAACCTAATATTGTTTTAGCTTTTTTAAGCAATTGTGCTTCACCTCTGGCTCACCAGCTGGTTTTCTTGTGCTCAGCTAAGGCACCTCTCCACATAGACTGCTCCAGTAACTTTGGATTTGAGAAATGTGGTCTAAAACACTGCTTGAGCTGTGGATTTGTTGGGTGTGTATTTTAATTAAGAATGTTTATATTTTAACTTCTGTGTGACTGGTTTTTATACTTCGTAAACAGTTCAGAAGCCTAAGCTGGTCTTAAAAGCAGTATATAAACCGAACAATAATAAATAAGTAAATGATGGTGTTTGAGTCTCCTGGCGTCAGTCTTCTGGTCTGTTAAATGGGTGTAACAGAGGTGCTTCTTTTTGCAGGGTTTGTGTCAGGATGAACAAAATCTCGAACATGAAGAATGCTACATGTTGAAAAGCAGTGGGATTTTAAGATTTGTGGTAAACATGGGTCGTCAAGTAGATTTCTGCCTTTACGGGAGCAGGGGACTATTGTAAGCCTCATTGCCTCCATCTGTAAAATAAGAACAATAGCTGCCAACTTCACAGGATTGTTGTGATAGGGGAGGCAATCAATACACTCCTGCCCTGCAAGTTAATTGATGGGCGTGAAAGGGTCGTGGTGCAACTTGTATGGTGGAACTGAGGCATATGCACACGACAGCTGCCTCCCCGGCCTTCCCCCACCCCAGCAGCAGATTGTCCCCAGTTTCCCAGCCAATTGGGACTGTGCTCCCATTTGCACACATCTCCCCAAATCCCTGACTCTGTCCCTGAGCTTCTGGGTTCCCGACATATGGAGTTGATTTGAGATAGGCAGGGCTGACTCAAGACATTGCGGCACCTGAGGCGAACCACGAAACAGTGCCTCACCCACCCGCCAGGGAAGAAGGGGCGAGTGAAGTCCTACATCAAGAACGGGGGTGGGGGGGAATGAAGATATACATCAGGAACAAAGGGGGAATGACTGACTGCTTTGGGAACAAGGTGGAAGTGCGGTGACAGTGGCACAAGAGGGCAGCACGTTCCTTGGATTTGCTGTCAGCAGACTGGTACATATTGATATAGGAATGTATTAGATAAAATGTAAAGAAATATACAATAATAAGAGTACACTCATTTGTAAAAAAGGAATATACAACGGGATAGACAGGAAGTCCAATGTGTTGGTACATATATGATTTTGGAATAGTTTTTTGTCCTTGTTTCTTTAGGTATATAAACTTTGTATACATGCTGAAAATTATATTAGAATAAGCCTTGTGATGTAATGTGATAATGTTTACCAATGTAACATAAGAATGTTAATAAATAAATAAAACTCCAAAAAACACACACAAAAGATTATGTGAAGCGGTGCTTACCTGCCCCCAACCCCAATATCTTATTCAAATTGGCATCCCTGCGCTCAGCTATATATCTCACTGGGTGACCTTGAGCCTGTCACTGCCTCTCAGCCTAACCTACCTCACAGGGTTGTTGTGGGGATCAAATGAGAAGGGAGGGAACCATGTATGCCAACTTGAGCTCCTTTGTGAAAAAGGTGGGGTGGCTGTGCCATCCATCCAGCCATTAATAATATCTCCAATCTACTTCAAATCTCCCAGAGATCTATCAATAGATCAGGATCTCCCTTCTCATTCTTCATCACGTGAAGGGGTATGCAAAAAGTTTCATCTCCTGGAACTTTATATAAACGATTCCCAATTGCAGGATATTATAAAAGCATGCCTCCTGTCAGAGGGATAAGGGATGAGGTAGAGAGAAAGTCCCAGAAGTTTTGAACTTAAAAATAAATAAGAAGTTGCTGGACAGTTTTATCCATCATGATGTGGCTGGATGTCAGACTCAGCTTCAAAATGCTGTCGGGGCTGGATTTGGGAAGTTTCAACATGAGGGAAGTTTCAGATGCGCGTGAAATGTATCTCCTTTTTTGAAAGAGTTCACCTTGAGGCAAGCAGCTGCATCTTGCCAAAGAAGACGGTGCTATTTTTAATACCCTCCAGTTCAGAGTTCTGCACAAAGTACACATGCGGTCAATTTCAGTATCATAAAAAATAACATTGCATCTTCCATGTTCTCCCCCCCCCCTCAATTTCATCCCTTCAAACTGTGTCTACATTCTCTTGCGTTAATTAAAATGGCTAAATGCAGGGCGTTTTTCTAAACTATTTTCTGCTAAGATATTCCAAAGGAACAGCTGCTCCGTGTCTGGAACTTGCCCAGAGCAGGTAGGTTAAACCACTGTGGTTTGCTGTGACAATGCTTTCCAGGGAACCTCATCCCCAGGTTCATCAAAAACACCCAGATAAATTTTTTAGACCTTTCTGTGAATTCCCAATGACTCGGACTTGGTTTCTGCAGGACGCAAGGGCACTCTGGAAATAAAATTAATAATTATGGGAATCATAGAAAGTTGGGAAAACCTGTATCTGGACTATTTTCAGAGGGTGAGGGCGGGTGGCTCATAACACCTAAATGCTCTTCCGTACCAGACCTCCCCAAAAACAAATGAAACCCCTTTCCCATGGAAAACTTCACATCGGGGGGAAATACAACATAGCCTTATCTCTGACATGATCGTTGTCTGAAGAGGTATGGCTCAGTCACAGGTTGACAACCTCAGATCAGAAGGAAGCCAGGAAACAATCCCTTGGTTAGTTAACTCTGCTTTTAGAACAGGGTCGGGATTTATATATTTTTTTCAGTTCTAGGGTCACTTTCCTCCATTGGAAGCCTGTTGGGTTTTGTATGTTTAAAACAGAAGGCAGGCGAAAAGGAGAATTAACTTTTTTGGGGAAACAGATTCTCGTTTCCTATGTGTCAGAATGCAACATCCCCATATAAGGCAGATCTGTATGTCCTTGTTTACTTTCTTATGGTTTTATTGTTTGTTTTTTATTTATTTTTTAAAGGCATTCCAAGCTTGGCAGCCTTTTAGGAGCTACATGCCCCGGTGGGCAGGGCTGTAAGGAAAAGTGGGTGGAGCAATGGGTGTGATGCGTACCCCCGTGTGGTAGGCTACATTGCACCCCTGCAAAAGTGAGAAAGTTTCTACACTTCCATCAAGACAAGCAAGAGGCATTCTAGCTAGGCAAATGCAGACAGAGAGGCCTGGAGGGCTGTGTTCAGTCTCTCCCCACTGAGGTTTCCCTCTCCTAGGAGGGCACTTTCTTGTTATGAAACCTTGAAGATTTACCGTAGGCTGTAGCTCTGTAAACACTTAACACGGAATTTGGTGCCATTAGATCCAATGGAAGCTTTGCATGGATATCAAAGCCTGGTGTTAGGAAGTCGTGCATTTTGCTTGAAGAGAAAGAAAAGGGAATTGCTAGGAGGAAAATACGCATCCGGCTCTTCAGCCCCTACATGGAAGCTCCATTGAATTATGTCATTTCAGTTCAAAGGAGACTGTGCCAAAGCGGTGAGACTTAAAGTGCATGGGGTGGGGGGAAAGGTAAAGGACCCCGGATGGTTAAGTCCAGTCAAAGGTGACTATGGGGTTGCAACGCTCATCTTGCTTTCAGGCCGAGGGAGCCGGCGTTTGTCCACAGACAGCTTTCTGGGTCATGTGGCCAGCATGACTAAACCACTACTGGCACACAGAGGACTGTGACAAGTGCCAGAGCGCACGGAAACACCGTTTACCTTCCCGCCGCAGCGGTGCCTATTTATCTATTTGCACTGGTGTGCTTTCGAACTGCTAGGTTGGCAGGAGCTGGGACAGAGCAACAGGAGCTCACCCCGTCACAGGGATTCGAACCACCGACCTTCTGATCGGCAAGCCCAAGAGGCTCAGTGGTTTAGACCACAGCACCACCCTCATCCCACATACAGGGGGGGGGGGAAAGGTAACTTCAGCTGAAATGGAAACACTTGCCCAAGCTTTAAAAATTAACATAAAAACCCTGTTTAGAGAAAGCTTTGAAATGCACCCCCTCCTTCTATGGTAGTTTGAAAGCTTTGCCAAGTGTCCTTTTTAGTATCAAATTCAGTTCTGCAGGCACTTTCAGAATGAATTGCAGTCCTTTTCAGGATCCACAATGCAATCCTGTACTATTGAGTTCAAGGATATTCATTCCCAGGTGAGTAAAGGATTGTGGCCTTGAGACTTTTGCATTTGTTACAATGTTACGTATGTGTGTTTTTATGTTGTAAACCACTTTGCTATCTTCCCATGAAGGCTGGCAAGAAAAACTTAACAACAACAACATTAATCATAAATGAGTTTGGCAATCAAGACACTCTGGCACTCTGTTCTCTGAATGCTTAATATAGGAGCAAGAGTTTCAGATATAATTGCTTCATGTGTGTGAATGAGATTTGCTCCTCAGAGAATATGTGTGTAAGGTTGCTCTGTAAAACCTTTTTATTTTTATCTTAGCTCAACCAAATGAGAGCTTTCTTCTATGGGCTGTTGCACCCCACAACACAGTTCATTACTAGAATTGTAATGTGTTTGCTACAGTGAGTATCCAAACATGTAAAGAGTCTGGATTATATTAATATGCCAAGACAATATAGTGAATTGTCCAAAGACTCTAGACGACCAGTGGCTGGTGAATTGCTGTTAAAGAGCCATCAAATTACATGGCACCTTGCAAAGTAATATAAAGCACCCACCCCTCAAAAAAGCTGGAGATTTAGGTGAGAGCCCTGCCCCAAGGAGCTTACAACCCGCAGTTTGATAGTGGGGAAGGGAGGAAGAGAGAGGCAGGAGTTATGAGATGAATAGCAGTTCACACATACTCAGGCTTTGTCTGAGGTGGGGGTGATGATTAAGTGGTGAAGCCAAAGGTTTCACACACCACTGTGGACATGGACAGTCTCCTAAATGTGTTGCGGGTGTGTCCCCCGCCCCCACCCACTGAGAGTGGAAGCTACATTGCAAAATCCACAATCACAAAATTCGGTCAGTATTCAAACGTGAATATCAGCATTCAGCCCTCCTTAACGGTTAAATGGATGTCTTGCGGTGTCTATCCAAAATGGGTTGAATGCTGACATCAACTTGAAATATATAAAATCAGGTTTAATGGCCTCATTATTTGTCCAGATGTTGCTGAATGCAGTCTGCACCTGGAAAAGGGATTCCAGAAGGTGGATTCGTTAGATTTGTTGTGCAAAAACCTTTGGCAGGAAGAGGAAAAGCTTCCAGTAGTAACTGTGTGATGCATGGAGATGGTTACCCCATACGAAACCTCAGGCACTCCAAGTCTACATGCTAGGGACAAAATAGCATATGGGTGAACTACCACCACCACCTTTCTTCCATTTCATAAACAATTGGCTGTATACTCGAGAAACTTTTCTGTATAGATCCCCTGAAGTGAATAAAAGGGGGGGGGACTTAATTATGTCCATGTAGCTCAGCTTCTTTCCATAACCAAATCGAATTCCATAACTAACATAAATACTTCTACCGTATATATAAAATCCAGCCATGTTCATTAAATTCTGTGGGGTTCCCCCCCCCCATTTTTTCCAATAGGATTTTATTTTTATCTTCATTCATTTCTGTATTTTTCTCTAGTTCCCAACAGAAATAGCTTTATTCTGCCTTCCCCTCCCCAAATGATAGCAAACCGCCTTTATAAAAAAATGAGTTTGTACATTCCCAAGGAAAAACATTCATGCATCAGTCTTCAAGACAGGGGGAAAAATTGTACCATTTTTCTGCCTCCCTTTGACATTTTCCATATTACACAGTGATTTGTTTCTCTGCTTAAAAAAAAAAGAAGCTTTGCCTCAGCTTCTTATAGAAAGAAACATTTATTTTTGCAAGAGAAGGCTTGCAGATTATGAAGAATGATAAAAACAGACCTTTTTCTTTGCAACTCTTTTTTTTTCCAGGTGAAAATTGTATTTTGAGGTTTCTGTGTATAAACTCAGACAGATGAGAATGCAAAGGTTCGGGTGAATCGTCTAAGGCATTTTATTCCATTGAGATCATCAATTTGATTTTAACAAGTTATCTTTGTTCCATAACTTGAATTACAACAGAATCCTAAAAGTGTCCTGATCGCTCTCCACTACCTGGGTTGCATTCACAAGAGACACGTTAGATCGCCTTGGGGCTCTTTGTTTTCTTATTTCCCATGTCTGTACGTAAAATTAAAAACTTATATAGACTAGAAAATACATTCACTTCAGAGGTAGTGTTCCTCAACTTTGTATACTGAGACAGTCCAGATGAAAATGTATTCCTCCCCCCTGACACCCTGTTAATTTTCTTATTGAACCTTGGGCCCAGTCTGCTAGAGAGTTCTCCTGCACACAACTCCCATTCATTTCAGTTCAGCTATTGCAGGAGAACTTCCAGATGGATGGTGCCTTTTTATTATTTCCATCATGAAAATTTAGATCCGTACACAGATGTGTCTCTGCAAGTGCTTTCACACAGACCTTGCATCTTAATTTGATGAACAAATGGAACTTGCTGACCCAGATGTTTGCATCACTTGTGAAAACGCCCTTCCATCTTCGTCCAGGATTCTTGACTGCCTGCATCTGGTTGGGTGGGAAGACAGTTTAGAAGTTTTCTAAACCATATGTTCAATTGTCATAAGGGAATATTCCTTTCATCACACGGTATTCTCTCCCATCCACCACTCCCAATTTCTTATATTCAGAATGCACTTTGTTGCTGTATCCCCTCCAGTTAACTGAGGCTTTGTGCCTTGGTTTCTTTTTAGGTGTTTCTGTGCATCTGAAAAGGTAAGAAATGTTTTATTAAAATATGTTCTAATTGGAGAAATAAACATGCCTTAATAGAAGTTAAGTTCCACTGAATTTAACAGGACTTTTCTTAATAAGTGCTCTGAGAATGGCAGTCTAAATGCATCAAGCAATTTAGAATGCAAACAAATAGTGCGACATTTAGTAAATTGGTTTTCCAGAATTCAGGACATTGCTATCATTGTTGAACTGATGAGTTTTGTATGTTTTAACAGAAGTCAGCCAAAGGGAGAATATTTTTTTGGGGGGGGGGGAGTGATTCTTGTTTCCTATGCATCATAATACAGCATTCCCATATAAGGCAGATCTATGTCCCTGTTTACTTTCTTTTGATTTTATAGTTGTTGTGGTTTTTTTTAAAAAACAGAAACAAAAAGAAAGTGTACTGCTTGGCATCTGCAGAATTGAAACTATCCTCAAAGTGCCAACACATTTTTAAAGACTAATGTTGTAAAATGCAAAGCCTCCCTTATCTCTTTGAGGGCGGATATACTGTATTTTGAATCAGCCCGTGAAATAAATTTGTGCCGAAGAATTACAATCGGTACAATTAAAGTCCAGTTTTGATTTAGAGATTTAATTGTTTCTAAGCACTACATCTCCTTCCCATTTAGAATGTACCTTTTAAAATAAAATGGTAATAAAATATTACAAGATATTGTTGAGAATTCTCTTTAAAGTTTTGAAATGGTGGTGGGAAGAGAAGGGGTGTATTTTCTGGGCAGAATTTCATCTTGTCCCACTCTGCTTAGGGTATGGCTTCCTCCTCTTTCTTTCTTTCTTTCTTTCTTTCTTTCTTTCTTTCCTTCTTTCTTTCCTCCCTCAGTATTTCTCATGCCTGTTTTGATTGACAAGGTTGTTATTAGCTTGAATGGATTCCCCCAGTTCTCTGTCTTCTTTAAGTCCCGATTTGGAATTGGAGTGTGATCTGTTGCCTATTGACCCGGGGATGGCTATACACTGACCCCCACTGCCTCCACAGCGACCCTTTGACCCCTAGAGCACTCGAGGCCAGCTTAGCTGAGCTCAGATGTGCGATGGGAGACTTTATGGAGTTTGGGGAAGTGAAGGGAGGGAGAAGAAACTATACAGAGTGGGAGGTGGGGTTTGGGAAAGGCAGGATAAGGAAGCGAGATTTTCACCAATATATACATGTGCCCATTGAAATGTTTCAGATCGACTCTGCACAGCACAGTACCTGGTTATCAGCTGCTGGGCTTTGGGAAGGAGACGTCTCTTCGGAGTTATGCGATTGACGCTGCACAGCACAGTTCCAAGTATACTGTGGGACAAGCTGGGAAGGATTCAGCAGAGAGCTACTAAGTGACTCAATGATCCAGAAGTCAAAACTGCGAAGAGGACGGGCCAGTGTGATGTGAGCCAGTGTGGTGTAGTGGTTAAGAGCGGTAGACTCGTAATCTGGGGAACCGGGTTCGATTCCCCGCTCCTCCACATGCAGCTGCTGGGTGACCTTGGGCCAGTCACACTTCTCTGAAGTCTCTCAGCCCCACTTACCTCACAGAGTGTTTGTTGTGGGGGAGGAAGGGAAAGGAGAATGTTAGCCGCTTTGAGACTCCTGAAGGGGAGCGATAAAGCGGGATATCAAATCCAAACTCTTCTTCTTCTTCTTCTTCCCAATGTAGGTCTTTATTCTCTCTGGTACAGCTGACTGTACAGCTGATTTACTTACCTGAAAAGACTGTCCTCCATGCCATGCGAGCGCTTGCCAGCCCGGTGCTATGCGGAATTGGAGAACAACCGATGGTGTCAATCTAACATCCAACGTAACTTGAACTCTTATTATTTCCACAAGCTAGAGGAGACTATATACACAGACAAATTATCATTAAGGGATTGGTGTCACTGGACAGAATCACTACGTGATCTGAAAGCAACCAAATCATCTAAATGCTCTCCCCTGTTCCCCCTACTAAAAACGGTTCATTTTAGAACCAGTTACCTGCCGAATCTCCAGCCAGCCTCACTAAGATTCACTTTTACAGAGCGTTGTTTTCAAGCTACACTCTTCGCCATCCTAGACAGACAATACCACAGGGTACCATACAAACACAGATTCTGTATATGTGGGCAACGCAGGTGGAAGACATCTTGCACTATTTACTATCTTGCCCGCTATACATTGGACACAGGCAATTTCTCGCCCTACCATCCATCCGTACAGGAAAGATGTCTCTCCCTGGCAGAGAAGGTCCTATGGCTTCTTAGCAATGTAAACGTTTCAGTGACTCACAAAGTCACTTTTTTGCTTGGCAGCCAAAAGGATCAGAAAGAAGACTTGGACAATATAGCACTGAACTGTAAGGGAAACGCAGAGGTCTCAATAGAGACTATTATTTGTGGCACAACATCCCTTTTGCTTGTATTTATTTTTGATTCAGATTTCTCATGGCCAATGGCTAGTACAATAAAGTTATTTGGATTGGATTGTTCCTGATATAGATCTTCTTCCCTGGCATGTGTGTGTGCTATTTTGTGGTTCACCTCAGGTGCTAAAATGTCTTGTTCTGGCCCTGAAAACATGAATTGTGGTCCATCTCTGAAGATGAGTAGGTTTGGACATGGATGGTAAGTGGACTGAGAAGCCACATATAAATGACTCTCACCTCCACAGAGGAAAAATAGGATATAAATGTAATAATAATAATAATAATAATAATAATAATAATAATAATATGAAAAAGAGAGATTAAAGAGGAAGGGTGGGGAGAGGAAACATAGTGGTCATTTTCCAACATTTTAAGGGATCTCAGAAAGGATGGGTGGAGAGAGATGCGGAGACATCCTTAGGCAGAGCTGGGGGAAAAGCCTGTCTGAGTTAGATGAACTTAGGCTGCATCTAGACACATCAAAGAAGCATTTGAGTTTAAAGTGTACATTTAAACAGGGAAAACTGGTAGAGAAAAATGGGACTCCACATTGCCATCTGGTGGCACAACGTTATATCACATATACAACGCCTGCACCCCCCACACCTCCTTCCTCCGCCCCTGCGGCACTTACCTTGGGGCCTGCAGTGCACCTGAGCCACATGTCTCTCCTGGGAGTGACGCAGTGGCTCAGGGGCCTGCAGGCTCCACGCCTCCTGAAACAGCAGTGTGGGACTTGTGCTGGATGAACCAATGGCCTGATTGATGTAACGCAGCTTTCTTTTCTTCTTAGCTGTTAACAAACAAGCTGGTCCAGGCTCGACTGATGTCATGCACTCCCTGGCTGCATTGTTTCAGTCCGTAACATGATTTTGAAATACATTCATATTTCCTTTGTTGTGAAGTGCATTGAGCAATTGTGTGTGTGTGTGTGTGTGTGTGTGTGTGTGTGTGTGTGTAAAAGCGGCATACAAATACAGTTTTGAATGAAGGAACAAACAAATGATAATGTTAAATTTCGAAAGCATATTCTGCCTCGTGATTGTGGTGGGGATGCTCTCAGGACAGTAATGAATTAATTAAATGATGATAAAAACCATGTATGAAAGGACTCTTTAAAAACACACCAATGTTAGACTGGGATTCCAGCATAGGTAAAGGTAAAGGGACCCGTGACCATTAGGTCCAGTCGTGACCGACTCTGGGGTTGCGACGCTCATCTTGCTTTACTGGCCGAGGGAGCTGGCGTACAGCTTCCAGGTCATGTGGCCAGCATGACTAAGCCGCTTCTGGCGAACCAGAGCAGCGCACGGAAACGCCGTTTACCTTCCCGCCGGAGCGGTACCTATTTATCTACTTGCACTTTGATGTGCTTTCGAACTGCTAGGTTGGCAGGAGCAGGGACCGAGCAACGGGAGCTCACCCTGTCGCGGGGATTCGAACCGCCGACCTTCTGATTGGCAAGTCCTAGGCTCTGTGGTTTAACCCACAGCATAATCTTACACAAATTCTCCTCGGATGTAAACCCTTTGGAGTCCAGCAGTGTTTATTTACCAGGAAAGTACATATAAGAGTGCAGTGTGAGAAACACAGAATATGCCATGGGTCCAACTCAGTAAGTTTTTGCTTCACATCATTCTCTGTGTGTGTGTGTGTGTGTGTGTGTGTGTGTGTAGGCATATATGCAAGTATGTATGGAAACTAGCCCACTGTGGAAAGGTACAGGAATATTGGTTGCTCCACCCACTTTTGCCCCTGGCTCCACCAACCAGTGGCCTGTGGCCCCTCAGGAGCTTCCTGAGAAAGGAATGTGGCCCTCAGAATTATAAAAAAGGTACCCCACCCCACCATACATACACTAAGAAACAAGAGACCTCGCTTTCAGAGTTACAAGTAAAAGACACATAAGAGAAGGAGAAAAAAGACGCCTGCTTGTTAAAGAGAGAAAAAAACGCGAGTGTAGAGTTTTTAATTAGGCGTTTAAATACACCAGCAGAAGGTGCCAAGCGGATGACAGAGGAGGTGAAGAAGAGCTCCACTTGCAGGAAGGGAGAAAGGCCAGGATTGGAGGATTCTGGGTTGCTGGAAGGGAAGGCGGCCAAAAGAAAGGAAGAGAGCAAGAAGGAAGAGAGAAGAGCCGAGTGCCTGGGAGCGAGAGAATGAAGACGTTGGAAAGGGGAATGAGGGAGGCAGGCAAAGACATCGGAGGGGAGTAAGAGGCGACGGGACAGAAGTTTATAAAGCCATGCATGGCATTGGAGAGGGAGAACGGCGGAGAAGTGTTTCTTTCTCGCTCCTAACCCTAAAACTTGTGGATGCCCAGTGAAGCTGGAAGATTCAGGACGGATTCAGGTACAGTGGTACCTCAGGTTAAGTACTTAATTCGTTCCGGAGGTCTGTTCTTAACCTGAAACTGTTCTTAACCTGAAGCACCACTTTAGCTAATGGGGCCTCCCGCTGCCACTGCATCGCCGCTGCACGATTTCTGTTCTCATCCTGAAGCAAAGTTCTTAACCTGAGGTAATATTTCTGGGTTACCGGAGTCTGTAACCTGAAGCGTATGTAACCCGAGGTACCACTGTACATCCAGGGCACAGGCCGTATCCACAAAATTATATTTTAAGCGCTGCAATACCACTTTAGACATTGATGGCTTCACCTAAAGAATCCTGGGAGGGCTGCACTGCGCTACGGTTGCTGAGAGTCGTTAGGCCATTGCCCTCACAGAGCTACCATTTTTCCAGATTTCCCTCAGAAGAGGGATAAGTGATAATAATAATTTTATTATTTAAATGCTGTTCACCTGACCCACTCTGGGCGGTAAAATATAAGAACGCAATAAAACGTTAAATACTTCCCTATACAGGGCTGCCTTCAGGTGTCTTCTAAAAAGCAGATAGTGGTTTATTTCCTTGACATCGAACAGGGGGACGTTTCACAGGGCGGGTGCCACTACCGAGAAGGCCCTCTGCCTGTTTCCCTGTAACCTCACTTCTCGCAGTGAGGGAACTGCCAGAAGGACCTCAGAGCTGGAGCTCCGTGTCTGGGCTGAAGGATGGGGGTGGAGATGCTCCTCCAGGATTGACTGTTAAGCCACTTGGAGAACTGTAGCTCTGTGAGAGGAATAGTCTAACAACATGTTTGCTTGGTACATTTATGAACATTTATTATACAGTATATCTAAGACCTTAAAATTCTTATAACACTATTCAGGTGGCATTGTAGCGTTTTATATGTATGGGTTGGAAGTGGCCATAGCATTTGGGTCTTACCAGTGATATGTTCCCTACCCCCTTTGTTTGCTCACATTTTTGCCATATAACATTTCCAGAATTTGTATTCATCCTTTTTTAAAAAAAATCTACTAAAATTTTAATACAGACCGTCATTTTCTCTTGTGTACTGCAGTGTTTTGTCTAGTTTTCAATTTCTCGCTTTAAACCTACTATCTCTGTTTTCAACCCTTCTACTCATTTAGACCTTTCTTTCTTTTTCTTTCTTTCTTTCTTTCTTTCTTTCTTTCTTTCTTTCTTTCTTTCGGAGTGTTTCACCTCTATCTGTTTCCCATTACCAGCTTCCTCTATTGTTCCATATCACATTCAAACGTCTTCTTTTAACCTTTCAGTCTTGTCATGATCTCACTCCTCCTTATCCTTATCTCCCTTCATTGCTTCTTGTTTTCTCCCTGTTCCTGTCCTCGGTTCCTCTGTTCATCAAATACTAATCTTCTCATTAAGCCTGCATTCCCTTGTGCTGTTTTTCCTCTCCATGCTTTCTCTCTCATGGCCCCTTACACGGCAAACTCTCTCCCTCTCAATATTCGGCTGACCTCTTCCCAATCTCACTTTCATAAATTAAAAAACCAATTTCTCTCTCTCGTATTTCCCTCTTGATTTGACTTTTCTTCTTATCCCCGCACACCTATTCTCAGGTTTT